TAAAGATGTGTTCTTAAGTAACCAAATTAGTATTTAAGTATGAAAAGCTGATCTAGGAGTCAGATGGCAGCATGGGGTAACAAAGACTAATCCTAAGATATACCCTGAGTGTGAGTCGTGAGAGTCTGGTACAAACAATTGAAAAGGGTAAGTAGCATGGGTTATCAATATGAGGTCCTGCCTGGTCATATTTTTAAGATTTTAATGGATAGTCCAGTCATATTTTAATAAATGACACTTTTACGGATGGGGGTTAGTAGAAAATTTCCTCTTCTTTCTGCAAAGGGTATTTCAGCATGGCTTGATTATAATTTTGTCTGATAAATTTATAAAACGAAGTAAATTATCAGAAAATGTAAAAATAGAAATTCTTCTTTAATTTAACCAATCCCAGGATAACTGAGAATAGAGAATCTGAAGAGACGACAAAGAAATGAAATTGTATGGAGAATGCCCTTTGTAACAACGTAATCTGAAAGAGTAGAAACTTCAAGTGATAACAATGACCTGCAGCAAGCTATAAGAGCAAATAGACAACTACAAAGAACAGAGAAAACTTAATGATGCAAATTGATTAACTGGCGATGTTCAATGTTCGGCACCTGTGAGGAGAATAGAATTCTAGCTATAGCATTTGCAACAACTCCTCAGCTTTACTTACTCTGATTCCTCATCAGTTATCCACACTCCCCTCTTAATATTACAGATAACTTTTTTCATGCTGATAAGATCTCAATGATCTCAAATGTGAAATTTTCTGACCATATATTCTGATTGGATATAGGTTAGAAAGATCATAGTAATATCTCTCAATAAAAGAGGGCTGATAAGGTAAAGTTCTTACCAAGGGTGAGACTTACCATGCGTATGAGCTGGTAAGTAGTAGTCCCTTCATTACTGCTCAATGCTTTGTTTGAATTTTCTAGAGTTACAATGAATCATTGATGAAATGTATTATAGACATGTTCTTTTAGTCTAATTGAATCTTGACTATACAATATGTATAGCATACATGAATCTTTTACAATAATTCTTACAATGGTGCATGCATCTTGGCCATTATTATAATCCAGGGCTGAGATCTCAATTGAATACCCAATTACAATTCAATAGTTGAATTAAACATAAGTAATGCAATTGTCAATATGCTAATAAAAACCACAAACTAACATATGAATCATGCAATTGCACAAAAAATCAATCTGAGATATGGGAAAAATTTAGATAACATTGGCGATTTCTTCTATTACCCTTTGAAAATAAGAGAGTGTCATCTACATAGTTCATCTACATAGAGTCTAAATGCTAGACTGGTGCTCAGGGTAGCCTTTGTACATACTAAGGTTTTATCTCCCGTAGCAATATAGCAAGATCTTCAGATTAAAGGCTACCTTTCTTACATCAAACTCATAAAACATACTTATTAGATCAGGGATTGCATGATTTACTCAGAATCTTTTTATCTTGCGGCAGGAAATGTCTGCAACGAAGAAATAATGAGCATAAATATATCGGGTTTGCTCTGCTATGAGTGCAATTCCATTTTTGTTGATCTGATACATTCGTCACAGTATGATATTGTATTAATTCTATCTTGATGTAAAATACCATTATTATTCATCTTGTGGCATATTCACAAATTAGTTGAGAAAAATCATGGAAGAAAGTCATCTACCGCAAGTTAAGTCAATCAGTTATGGAGCACATGAAGATTCTACAATTTAGGCCTCAACTGTTTTTGCTTTCACAGGTATTTAAAACCCAGTAAGTATACTCTGAAATCAGTATTCTGGGCATCTGATATCATAAAACCTGATGGGACACTTCTACTACATAATCTACGACAGCAAGTCAATGGCAGAATAGACAATGCTTTACAGTAAAGACCTTGTATGTGAACACCATTCTAGTTTTTGATCCTCCTTATCTCTATTAGAGCCCTTTGGCTCATCCCACAAGTGTTGTATTCATTAATGCCCCAATCTTTTTTAATCTTCTGACCGTATTTAAGTTTTGCTTGAATGGTCAACATTTCAGGCTGCATACAACATATATGCTTGCTGTTTTATAGCCTTTAGTATAAACAATTTTCTTAGTCTTGCATGAATCCCTTATATGCTACAATTCCCCCAAATCACTAATTTAGCATTGAAAGAGAGAATATAGGGGGAGGGATTTAATGTAAAACTAGAGATGTCTTTGAATATCAAGACACACATTCCAGCTGATGATATATAGGACAAAATGTATATGTGTAGTATTCCTAGAGAGAAAATCTGTAATGGATTTCCAAGATTCTATTATGAGAACACAGCTTTCCATTAGTCTCTCTTACTACACCCTTTGCAAGGCAGAGACTGGGTCTGAGTATCAGAATGGAGGCCTTCATGTGACGATAACTATACTGGAAAACGAGTTAGGAGATAATCCATCTCTGCTGGACCTCTAATCTCTCAATCTGATCCTAATACAATGAAATCACTGTAAAATGACAGTTAGACTTGTTCTACTTTAATTAATGCTCTACAAGCAATGCTACTACACATTAAACAATGATTTATTATGGATTCTAGCAAATTGTTCATGCTGTCACACAAATCCTAGCTTTGCAAGAGATTTATATGAAAAAGATATATTGGGTTTTTCATACTAGTTGCTTACTATAGAAAAGATAGTTGAATTCTTTTGAAATATCTTCTGAGTATAAAAGGCTAGATGCGACTAGAAATAAACTTGATTTACACCATTAAATATTTTAAAATTCAGTCAAAGTGATGTCATATTTGAAATCTACATGTAAAAGTACATCTAAAATATGGCTTCAAAAATGGTTCATCAACTTTGAAAATTCATTTTTTGAGCCACCTGGTGGTGAAACTGGTAACTATCTACTCGCATCTGAGTTATTCATTGAATTCATCCAAAATATATAAACTGAAAAACTTATTCTAAAAAGTGTCATATAAAAAAATTGAATGACAAGCTCCTATAATTTAACATGGAACCATCTTTTGGTGGTATGTAAACGGGTATGCAAACTACCTTAAAACGACTAATTTAGTGACAATCTAACATCTGTTCGAATATTCCAGGTAACAATGAGACGATGTAAAATAAGGTCACTTTAATGTCAACTATTGCGATCTTTTTCCAAGAATAGTAGCAATAGATAAGTAAAAGCCCACTTGAAACATGCTAGCCTTTTCAATTTGTCCTTTAAATGTCATAAAATGTCATCACATAGTTGCATATAATCAAGATATACAATAATACATGCAAGACTGTCAGATAGTCCAGTGGCAGTAGGGGATAATATTGTTATGTAATAGAAATAATTCTATTACCTATTTATAAATAAGACATTAACATACAAAATGTCACCACCTGACATTTGTTACAGATGACGAACACCAACTGGTGACCACTCAAAACCAACCACCAACTGCCAAACAACATCCATAGTAAAAAGTTGACACTATAACAATATGCAACGAGACTATTTAGAATATTTGTACATTTTTGGTTTAAAATAATCAATAGAAAAATAACTTATAAAAATAATATTATAAAAAATAAATTATGTTCAACAATATTAAAGTTTGAAGACATATTTCCCTGGTGGTATCAATACCACTTGGTATTGGTATTGGTATTAGTGATCCAATAAAATAAGGTACTAGTGCAATTTCAAGCAAAATGGAATACTTGGAACACAAATTCAAACACTTTTTTACCGTCCCAGTTATGTTTGGATTAGAAGGTTTACCGTATTCAGTGAAAAAATTAGATTCAGATCAGGCTGAACTAGGGTGATTTTGATTTGATATAAGGGAGCTTAGAGGGTTATCTATCAATTTTATTAAAATATTTGACATCATATTTTACCTCTAACATCATGTCACGGAGACACCAGTAATACAATAGTGATATATTTCTCATCTGAATTTCCGTAGACTATATACGTATTGGAGTTACATTGGAATTACTAATAACATAACAAAAAGCAAAACAGCCACAACTATTAGAAATTATCAATTTCGCAAAACAACAGGCAATTTCAGTAAAAACAAGTGGAGGAGATCGCCTATTGCTAATTAAACCCCTGATAGAATCCAAAAATAAAGAATATTGCAACTCAATTCCAACGAGGCGATGAATAATTAAAAAAAGTTTTTCTGAATCCAATAATGCAGACATTCTTGACAGTTCAGAACATTACTGTCTTCTATGAATTCCCAATTAACTTGAGACTCCTAATCCACAGTCTCCCAAAAAATTTATTAGTTAATAAAAAGTAGATTACACCGGAAGTGTCACGCATATACCAATGAAATGATTACAGAAAGGGAAAAATTAAATTTAGGTCTACATAACAAAAATGTGTGACAGAAGTACAAGGTTTATAGACTGTGAAGAGCTTGTTGGACAGTCAGTTTTGATCCTTAAGTCAGTTTACTGTTTCAGTATAGAAAAATACTATGGCCACTGGTCTGCCAATCAACATAATAACTAGTCTACACAGACTACATGCATTTTTTGCACTACTCAATGCATTATGTGTTATTTGGGATAAAATATCAAGAGTAAAGAAACAAAAAAATCGTTCATCAGATGGCTCAGAATCCCCGTAATTAACTATAATTTTAGCAATCTCTTCAGTGTTGGGTACAAGAATATCCAAAAACAATTGGTCAACATAAGCTCCTTATGCTTGATTTTCTTCTTTCTTCACTGAACAAAATTTTTTAAATGCCTAATTGGGTTGCTTCAATGCCCATTGGCCATTCCCATTGTTGTATGTTTTTTTCTTTATCTGTTCAACTTCTTCATCATCATTTTAAAATCCCCTAAGAAAGGCCGTGAGGTCTCAGTAAGTAAAGGGTAGGAAGACAATAAAACAATATAACAAATATGGAGGGGGTTAAAATACAAATGTATGATGAAAATTAACATTGTTTCTTCATAACTGTTAATATTAGGCAACAGATTAGTATACTTACAATTCCATGACTAAGTAGACATAATGTTTATCATCATATACTTCTACCAGTTGGACTATATTTGGATGTTTCAATCTGAAAGTACATAAAAACATAATAAAGACATGATAGACAAGGCATTTTGAAAACAACTCACATACTCATTGTGCTTTATTCCGGTGAAATCGCACAAAAATCATATAGCACAACGTATGTATATTTAGTGCTATCAACATGTTTATCTATTTAATGTACATGTTCATGTAATGTACATGTAAATGTATATAATTATTCTTAAGATCTAGAGTTATGCAAATTTTAACATGGTTTCATTAAGTGAAAATGGAGTAACTCTGAGCTATGAGGTAGTACTGTCTCATTCAAGAGCTTACTCAGAGAGTAAAAATGCTAAAAATGAGATTCCACCCAACCACCCATCTATTTGATTATAGTATGGCATTTTTAGGTCCGATAAAAGCAGTTTTTCCCAATGTTTTATATAATACTGGCATGTTTCATGTGTTATCTGAAAATTTCAAGAAATGCCTAAGAGTTTTATTGTTTAGGTTATAATGACCGAAGTTCTGATAGTCTAGCTTATTACTGTACATAGAAATCAATTGATTCACTTCTCTTGGATGTTATGCAATGAATGAATCAATAAGTCATTATATAAATTAAACAAGCTACATATTCCTTTAACAAGCTTGGGATTTGGTAGACAGAATATAATTTTGAAATATTTCTAACCTGTTGCATCAAGATATCTCCATACAGTATTATATCTTACAGGATTTAATTGTAAACATCACATCCAAACTTTTCTATTTATCATATATTTTCAACAGTTATCCTACTAGCTTAAAGTTTTGCTTTGAGAAGTATGTATATAAAATACTTGATTAAATATTACTTCCATAATTGAGACGTTCAATGTACAGTGTATATATATTTATATAAGAGAAATGTTCTAATATGCAGGTTTTACTGTGCTTGTGTAACATTCCAAGCAGTTATCACACATCAAAATGTTAACTACTGACTGGCTACCTGTATGACTCAGAATCATCACATTACCCTTTGCCAGAAAATCCCATACTCTCCATATGACTGATAATCCTCTAAATTCTGAGCCAATAAGAGCTTACTATGATTCTTTACATATGTACATATTTGTGTCATTGTATAGTGCTCCCTGATTGGTTATATGCTTAATGCTCCATACTAGTCAGAGGGCATTATACAAGCCAATCAGCTCAGGGTAAAATTACTTTTCTACTAAGAAGATAGATGAGCCAGACTCTGAAAACTGTCAGTTGGTATGAACCAGTTAGGAACTTCTACTCATCAACATGGGTTACAAGAGTGTTTTGCTAAAGGGGTCTTGATAATATTACACGACTGACCACAATATACCACAGAAAAAACAATCAAAGCCCCCTTGGACTTTTGTGCATGTTGAGCTATACAACATATTCGTCTTTTTACAAAGGAAGAAGTCCCAAATTCGCTGCTAATTTTGTGACTGTCCATCCGATCAAATAACTTTCATATTAAATATAATGAAGATATGTTAAGGTAAAGCCAAGCAGAATGAGAAATTTTGACCCATGTATAACTATACAGATCTGTAGCCAGGAGGGGGAGGGAGGGGTCTGAGTAAACCCCCTGGCCAAAACTTCTTTCAAAATCATGCAGCTTTTCACAATTTTGACATGCAATTTTCACAATTTTGAGCACTTTTCAAGTGATTTTGGAGCAAGATCTTCAAATATGAACCCTCCTGGAGTTGCTTAAAACTGAAACTTGCTAAGAAAAAGCTGGATACAGGCCTGCTTTTTTGAAACCCAAATATGCCACCCACCTTTGCACACCTTAATAAGACTACATTGGAATAACACAGCAATTTATTGTATTGAAGTGGAAGTTGTTATTGAAAACAAAATACTTTGAATCCTTGTCAGAATTTGGAAATACTTTGCTAGGTTAACCGAGTGGCTGACACTTTGTACCACTTGTGAAAAAATGTTAGCAAGTTCTATTAATAAAATCCAATGTTTCATTCGATTGCCATAAAAGTTGAATATATGTAAAATCATTTCTCTGTTAGCTTTTATACAATCTAACAAATGATCAAAAAGCACTGTAATTATAAAATACAGTAAAACCTTTAAAGTAAAGAGGCACACCTCTTTATATAAAACACCTCTGTAAGTGAAGCACTTCTGTTAGTAAAACACCTCTCTAGGTACAGAATACTTCACAGTTCTGTCATACACTTACTAAATATATAAATTGAACCAAACATCTAAAAGTGGAGCACTACTACTTTGAGGTACCTAAGGTGGTCTTATTATACAGGTTTTACTGTACTTACGTTAAATCAATTTATGTAGACTTATCAAGAGTCCAAAAGTTTGCTTCAAGATTACATAGGCCTTGACTAACAGCACAAATACACTGTGTGTTTCCAATCAACTTAGAAATGATAAAGATAAAATGCATAATCTTGTTAAATATAATCAATCTTGTAGCCAAAATAACCAATTTTGTTTGAAGATAATCTGAAGCTCGTTCCTGAGATTTTATCTGCTATTTGAGTGTAGTTTCTTTTTCTAATGTAGTGGTGCATGGTTTCAAATGTAAATCCAATAATATTGTAATGTCATATAATAATATGACACGATGATGCCATTCCAATTTTTATTAATTTCATCTTCAAAGTATTGATATTTCAAAAACAGCATTGCAGCTGATGACATGAAAACATCAGTTAATGAAAACAAAGGCAAATAATATTGTAATTAATTTGTTCTGTTGGTCTAGTTGGCCTTTTATTCAACATTTCATCGAAACCAAACAATACTAATGAATAACATACCATAGTAGGCTATAGTAGAGTCATTGGCTTTTCGAACCCCTATAAATCATTGCTGATTTGGCTGGCAGATCATAGATATACATACCATACGTATAAGTCATAAAATATCAATCTACATGCAGAATGAAACTTGCCATAAAACATCATTTCTAGTATACTTTATTTCTACAAAACACAGGATTCCCATCCTCTGGCTATGGAACAATCTAAGTATTTATGTAGACATAAAGGCAAACTAACATCATTTGTAGAAGTTATGGACCATTCAGCTAAGTGCTCTATGAAAGTGTCATACAAGATGAAAACATATAACATAAGGTAAATCATGAAGAATTTATATGAACATAAGAATGGAATGGGGACAAACTGGACCAAAACAATTCATCACATTTGTTACATTTCATAATAATCATTTAAAATATCCATGATAAAACGTTATAACCTCATACAGCATCCTTGGAGAGCAACAATCTTTAGCCTCTTATTGATCATAAACCCTAGGCAAGAGCAGGACTTCATCTATATACACAAAATGCCAACGCTACATTCTCTACCTAATAAGTGGCTAATATTGATTTCACAAACTCCAAAGAAGACAAAAGCTAAGAGGACTAGCTAGCATTATTGGTAATACTCAGAGAGTAGTGTGTTAATTGGAATTCAGGGTATTAATGATATACAATACAATGATGCACACTTACATATGTTAACATGTCTTTTATTCTTTTCATAGATGACATATAATATAAGAGAATAGTCATATAAAGTAATACCATTAGCAAGACAAAATGTGACAAAATGTAAAAATCTGATAAGTTATATAATATTTATTTTATTATTTATGGTTATAAAAATTTAACAACCTACAGATACAGACATCAGCTATTCTCATCCATCTCCACCAAAAATGGTGACTATGCAAATGTCACAATTTCTAGTTAGTGATAAAACAACAGTTTAATTGACATTTTCATTCAAAAACCACATTACATCCTTATCATTAGCACAACTGGAAGGGGTATCATTTGTATCATATTAACTGTCTGTTGTTGATGGCAGGCTGTATGTTCTATCATCTCGTTATGATTGCCTATGGAAAGTCATTTGTCTTGAAAATATGTGGGTGATAATAACACAGGGAATCAATGGACAAATATTTGAATAGAATTCAATAATAACCAGGTACTTACTTTAGCATTGCCCTTTAAAATTCCATGAACTCAATTAACGGATAAGACGATTTAGGAATAGGCAATAAGAACAGGGTATTAATATGACAAAAACGTCACCATCTGGTTACAAAAGTGTGACAGTTGTTATAGATACTGAATGCTCACCCCAGTCACAAAATTAATGGCCAAAACACAACTTCTTGGTAGTGAATAAGAAATTTTAGGGACAATTTAATGTTGTGAAAAAATGATTGTTTAACCATGCTATTAAATAATTATTTTACGTCACCTGACAGCATGCTTACATCATCAAGTGATGACATAGTCAGACATAGTACTTCAAAAGACCAGAGAACAAGGGATATTTAATATTTGTCTAATATTTTCATTGTAAACACATTATCTACATATCCCCATGTTTACATCTACCCTAAGTCTTATTTTGTTTGCTAAAGGAGACTAGAAGACAGTATAATCTATCTCCAATACACACCCAGGGTTACATTAGCAGCAGGCAAAAGGCAATTTTTACCTGTTGTTTCATGGAATTTTGCAAATGTTTTCACTTTCACTTTATAATTTCTAATAATTTTGCTTATTGTTTTCATTTTCTTTTAAAGATACATACAAAAAATAAATAACAAAATCAATATATAAAGGAACCCAACCTTTATTATTTAATGTATATATTGTACATGACCATTCAATAAAGAAAAAAAAATATATTTCCCTCAGTATATTTAATTTCCTGCAGCCCTTTAAGCGCAAGGGAAAGATGAACATGTAAAAAATCGAAAAACTTTCCAATGATATAATAAAATACAAATATATTGTCAATGAAGCAGTGGATTCAAAAAACAAGTAAATAAAGGATATCCTATGATTTGTGAGATATACTTTCTATTCTCTCATATACTCTCCTGTATTCGAACATTGTGATTTCAAAAACAATTTTTTCAAACTGGTTGACGTTAATTTGTAATATTACAACAATATCCTAACTCCTGCTCAGCGTAGATACCTTGCTGTTTTATATTCACAAC